CGCGCCCGCCGCCCCCCGTGCCAGAAGGGAGGTGGCGGCCCCAGCACGTTGGTGTGGGGGCCTCTGAAAGCCGCCTTTTAAAAATCTGTTTTCCCTATTTTCTCCTTCCTCCTCCGGCTTTCCCGGGAGTTTTCCCCTTCTCCCCGCGCGTCTTCACGCCCACTTGTGCAGGCTTTCTTCTGCTGCATGTGTTTCTTCACCGTTCTAGAAATTTATTTTTATTTTCATCTTCCACTCTCTGCTTTTGTTTCTGCTTCCGTTTCTGGTGGGTGTGTTTTTTCAAGCCATGCCATGTGTGCTCGGTGTGGATTCCTGTTCCCCCTGTACTAATGTTCACAAGAGCTGGTGCTTGCCAGCTGAAATTATTTGTTCACAGCTCTCTATGACTGATAGCAACTGCTGTGGTTACTTGTTATCTACCTACAGCTAACATAAAAGGCATAAATATGCTCTATGAATAGTCTCAAAAGCTGTGCAGTAGCCTGGTAATACCGCCATTTGTTTTATTTGAACACACATGAAATTCTATTTTGTTTTTTCTTGTAGAGAGATTTTAATGAACGCTGTGCGCAGTGTTCAGAAGTGAACTGGGGTCTCACTGATGGAGGCAGATTTTATTGCAGATCTTGCCACAGTGTTACTGAGGTAAAAAGCTAAGTTGCTGGCCTTGGAAAAGGTTTATTTTGTTTGCTTCTTGGTTTTATATTAAGAAAATGTTAGATTTTTCTCCTTGGCATTAGGAGTTGAAGGCAGTATTGTGATTCTTCGTTTTTCACGCTCTACTTGACATTGGTTAAAACTAATGTTCCACAAAATTTAAAATAAGCCATCTTAAGATGCTGTGTTGCTGTAGCTGTAGTGCTGCTGTGCTGTCTAGATGCCTTAGAAGTATTGCCTGGGTATTGCTGCACTTTAGTACAGTACCAGTGTAGGCAAACCCTGACACATGCCACCTGTATGTCCAGGATAGTAATTCTCCATTGTTGCAGTTTATGAATGAAAAGTTCAGAATGTTCTGTCTCCCTTTAGTTTAGAAAATTTGAACAAGTTCCTCCATAATGTTTTATGATGGGGCAATCTGTGCACGTTAGCCTGGCTTTTTTTCTTGCTAAGATATATTCCTATTTTGCAGAGAACTAGGGAAGTTGTAAACACTGATTTTATTTCTAATACAAGAATCCAGACAATCTCCAAAGGTCTAAGAAAGCAGGAAAAAAATGGTATGTATGAGTTTCTCTCTGTATTTTGCCCAAGAGTGGCTGCTCAGCCAGTGTTTACCTAGCCCATTATACCTTTGATGGGGACCAAAAGCAGATAACTAGGAAAGACTATAAGAACAGGAAGAAAATCCACCCCCCAGATGCTGTCACACCTTCAGCGGTCACATTTGGTGACTTCCTGAGCCACAGGTGACCTCTGTGAGCCTGGTGGTGGGGTTTTTTGTATTGAACGGAGGTATATGTTACCTGTTATTGCTTTGATTTGTGGAAGCCAATACTCACTGAAGATACTTGTGGAATACATTCTGATCTTTTTGTTCCTTCCACATGATGGCTATCACAAAACCAGAAAAGTTGTCTGTCTTCATAAGTGAGGTGTGACAGTGGCACAGGTCTAAGAATGTCAGTCTGGCTTGCGTTACAGGTACCTGTTGCCCTGTAACCTACACCCAAACCTACATGGAAGAGACTTCATGCAGTTACAATAGCTAAACCAATATTACGTCTTTCCTCCAGAGTCACTTCTATATTTTTAATTTCATGATTCAATAGAATAGTAGTCATTACATAGGATGATATATGGCAGAAGGAAGTTATGGTAAGGCTGTTGCTGGAGCATTGATGGCTGGATAGATGTTTTACTGTTGTGGCCACCTTCAAAAAGCAAAAATGCATTACAATGCTAAATGAAGCATGGGGTTATCTTTGTCTCTGATATGCTGACCTTTCTTTGCTCTGCTGTGGTGTGGTGGATTACTACGTTCATTTGAAAAGACCAATTGTGTGGAAGTGAAGGGAGGAGTGAAAAGGGGAACAACCTTAACGCCTCCACTTGTCTTTACCCTGTATTGCTCCTAAAGTCTGAGCTGTGTGCCACTCATGCTTTTTTATTTCTCCTGTTAGGAAGGTCATTAGCCGTCCCCCAGGCTTCTTAAGAAAGAAATCCTTAGCTTCATACAGTCCCTTCTGTGAGTGCAGTTACATTGTATTATGGCAGCTTATTTTTGTGCATTTGTAGGAGTAAACTGTACCTGTGGTTAACAAAGCCAACATCATTAAAGCAGGGCAGAAGCTTTGGGCAGATAACTTCTAAGATGGTGAGATGCAAGGAGTGATTGGAAGGAAAAATAATGAGGAGCAAGTGTGGAGGGAATGAAAAGAAAGTTGAAAAGTGCAGAGAGAATTTCTAAAACAAAAAGCCTGTAGAAAAGGAGTTGTAAGTATAGAGAGGTAAGAGTGAAAAGCAAATATAAGCAGTCTGAGGGAATAGTGAATGGAGTGGAGCACACCTGCTCCTTATGAAATTCATGTTGTGCTGAGATTTGCTGGAAGCTCTGAGAAAGTTTCTTTCATTTAAATGTGCATGGTTCTGCGGGAGAGTGGTGAAGAACGGGGTGATATTGGTTGTTTTTTGCCTGACTCACCACCATAACGTGTTCCAGTTTTCTGTGCCGGGGATGGGAAAGAAATGATCATACTTCATTTTTTTAATGACATGTTCTCAGTTATTTTAAAACTGGTCACTTAACTCTCCACTTGATTGCAAGTGCCACACTAGAAGTTATAGTGAAATATATTGTTCTTGGGAAATGTGTGGAGAACAGTGCTTGTTTAGTAGCTTTTCTTCTTGATTAAGACTAGGAATAGTTGGAAGTTAATAGAGTATTCAGTGTAGTTGGTCTATGCTCTAGAATCTGAAATTATTTAATAGAGAGACGTTTCTCTGTCCTGATACCATAAGAACAGAATATGAAGTGGAAATAAGTGTGCATAAGGTTAAAAAAAAAACCCAAACAGTACAAACAAAAAAAATAACTTTTTTTTTTTTTTTTTTTTTTTTTTACATAGATGGAGGCTGTGAATGGTATGTTTGTGAAGGCTTTCAGCTTGTACTCAAGAAACAAGCTGAAGCTTTAGAAGCGTTAGGAGTATGTCCACAAATGAAGGTATGTAGATGTCAGTGTGAGTTGTACACACTGTGTTTGTTTTATAGGAGGTGTTATTTTAAAAGACTCTAAGTTTTAAAGTGAATTGAACAACTCCTTGTTTAAAAACATTGAGCATATGCAAACAAACTTAGCTTCTCTGGTAATTTTAAAACATAGTTTATAAATCAGAGTTAATAAAATTGGAGCTGGAACATTATTCAGATTCCTGAGTTAGACATTATGCTCTGTTCTCTCAGCAATTAATGATCTTGTAAACTTTGTACTAATCACTATCCATTTGTATTTATCAGGATGAAATTCTGTGCAATTTTTGGAGGCGTTACTTGCAGAAGAGCAAACAGGCATATTGCAAAAGACCAGCTGGGGAAACTGTCAAAGCATTATCAGTAAGTGAAAAGCCCAAATCCCATGAGATGTTTGGTATCTTTTTAAAAAGCAACAACAGAAACCACCTTTGTTCAAGCTATGTATCTAGCTTATGTTAATGTTACTTCAGTATGAAGGATGTCTTCTAAACGGGATTCCACATGTCCATTTTGTTTTTTGTTTTTTTTCCTATTTCGAGAGACAAATACTTCTCAAGTATGGAAAACTGCTTATTTTAAAATATTGCTTTGTCTTGGCATAGATAGTCAGTAGATAGAGCAGAAATTATAATACAAAATGCATCATCAGCTACTATCCCTTCCTGCTTGCTCTCTTCAAGTTACTTAATTTCATCAAGCTTTGATTCTATGTATTGCCAACTTTCTGATGATTGTAGCAGGTTGAAATGTAATGTGATCATTAGAAGTCTTTTTATCTTGAGAAATCCTTTAAAAATAGGGTTTTTTTCAGTGTTTCTTTACATACTGGTGATTCATAGAGAAAGCAAAAATGTGAAAAGTTTGGGTTTAAACTTCATTTAGTGTTGATCTTGCTTTTGTCATGGTTTATTTGGTTTCTTCAGATTGAAACAGTAACTTACAGTAGATAATACAATGACTTATTTACAAAATACAGGTATGTGATGGCAGTACTGATGTGGACAGTGAACCAGAGACACCCAGCCTTCTCCACTTGTCTCTCTCTGAAAGCGAGGGGGATCTACAGACTGATTGCAGCTTTGTCTCATCAAGCAGCAAGGTCTCAGGTAGGAGCAATGAACTGAACTATGGGAAAACAGTTTTTCTGTAGTTTTTAAATATAAATAAATATATATAAAGTGTATCCATGTACAATGAATTAGAGGAACTTGTTGGGAAGTGTGAAGTTTTCAGTACTGTTTGCTACTGGAGTGCTTTATATTCTACCAGAAACAGAAGACTTTCTCCCCCAGCCCCCACCAAGGAGATGAAAGTTGAACAGGATCTGGATATATAATGGGAGATTCGGGAGGAAGTCCTGTTGTGTAACAACTTTGTTCCATGATTTCTCTTTGGAGGGGGGAAAATTGCTATTATATTTGCAAAGCTAGATGTTCACAAACATGGTAGCTTTAAAGAATAAGCACTTGTTCAGCTAATAGCAGAGCTGTCAGTTGTGACACTGATATTAAGAAACATCAGTTTGTTCTGTGGGGTGGGGGGGCGGTTTGGTTTTTTTTCTGCATCTCATAGATATATTTAGCTTTCTAAATGTTTTCCTTGCAGTATTGTTGGTACTTTTGTATGTGTTGTCTCTGCATTATTTTTACTACTTTCCCTGTAACCCCTTCTGTCAAAAATCTTTTAGCATTCCATCAGTTTCTCCTTTCTGTTCACGATATCAGCTTGAAAATACTTAAAATTTTTATCCTGCTGTGGTTAAAATGTTATAGAAAATTGGTGCTACTGGGCAAGTGTAATGCCAGAGAATGCTGCAGTGTCTGATAGTGGAAACACATTTCAAGGCACCTTTGAAAGCCTTTGCTTGGTTTTGAAACTTCTGATGGTTTTTCTTTTTTGCTTTATTCTTTGGTTGTCTTTTCCTTCTTTGTCTGTTTCAGTGGGTTTTTTCCCCTGTTATGTGCTGTCCTCTTTATGTCTCATTTCTATTCTTCTACAATATTGCCTATTTACCCTCAGAAGAATGCAATCTTCTTTCATGTTTTTCTCTTTATTTAGTAAAGTCCAAAAATGGTAATAGAATGAGAAACTCGATCTGCAGCAATTAAATAAATAAAGAATTTTTTAAAAATCCAAACAGAATTACAGGGGGAAAAAAGGTGCAAAAATGGTGACAAAATTTTTTGTGAGTATAATGCGAGTACCTTTCATCCTCATATATTAAAATGACAGTTTTCAGGTAAAGAGTCACTGTGTTTGTACATGTAGCAGATTTTGGGTGTTACACAAATATGTATTGTATCAAGAGCAAAGAATTGAGTCAAAAATTTCTAGTGAAAATATTACATTGACTTTTATTCCCCTTTTTGATGGGGAGCTCCTTTCTTCCTTTGTACTTGCGCCATTTCTAGTTATGTTTCTTAGAGTTTTAGAACCATAGTTTAGGCCATAATTTAACTTGGTTTTAGTTGTTTCAGAGATTGAATTCAGCTTTAAGTAGTCATACCAATTTCACTAAAAGCACTTGAAATGGATTAAGGGTTCAGTGACAATAAAAGTACATTTTAGTGAAATCAAACAGGAATTGTTTTGTGTATTGAAATTTATCAGAAGTAATGCTGGAGGTGTCCTAGTCAATTATAAATTCTAGTTAAGATTCATAGGTTTCCTTTTCTGTGCTGTTTTTACTGAGCTGTTATTGCTACAGACTGGAAACCTCAATAGTCTTTTTTTCCCTAAGGGGCTTGTCCAATGGGCAAGGATTTTTATTTTTTTTAAAATTTTTGTGTAGGGATAGTAGCAAATTTCGCTGAGTGTAGCACTGAGATACTGATAGAGAAGCAGCCTATTAAACTCCTAAATTATTATATGTGTGTAAATGTGTGTTGTCATGCCTTGCATAAATTGGAAGAAATAAAAGGAAATTGTGCACCATCATTAAGGCCACAAATATAGTGAGGATTATTTTAAATTGAATGTGAAATCAATAATGAAGCCTCAGTCGTGAAGCTGCCTTTAAGCACAAGTATCCATGTAAAAGGCGAAACCGTTGTCTCGAAGGATGAACTGATGTTCCTGCTTGTGTTCTCTGGCACACCTGTCTCGTAAGATGCCTGTCATCTAGACCTTGTCTTAGTCTGTACCAGGTGTATCTTTGAGCAGGGTCTTTTAACCCGTTGCTGTGTCCCTGCTGCTACTGGCCACTGTTTTGGGAGCCGGTAGGTGGCATCAAAGACCAATTCTGTCTCAGGAACACAATATTTGCAGTGTCTGTCTTCATACCGTGTGTCAGTGGGCGCAGGACCTCTGCCGCTGACTGCTGTTGCTTTACAGGCTTGGCTACCACCTGCCGCCGGTTGGCCCCCCCCCTGCCGCCATAACCATGGAGCCGCCAACCTCTCCGAAAGTTTAAATTGTTTTTCGCAGGCTGCTCGCCATGGCCCTGCAGCTCCCAGCTGGGGAGCTGTGGATCCAGCCCTCACTGTTCCTGTCTGAAAGGTGAACAGTCTGTGGAGGAACACAGTGAGAAAATCTCCACAGAATCAATGCTGATATTTTGTGCTGGTGTGCTTTAAATAAAAAACATTTGCATTTGTCCTAGTAGGGTCATGATATAGGGAAGAGAGGCTTTTCTTTTTCTCTTCCTCCTTCCCTGAAAGTTTCACTGCTGAAAAGGTTCCTAACTCATAAATCACTCCCCTGAATTAAATTTCTCATTGCTGCTTCTCTTAGGTTTTAGTGATTCATCTCGGTAAGGAGGTTTGGTTGTTTATTCTTGGTTGGTTTTTTTTCCCCACCTTCTTTACCGTTTGCTGTATGGTAAATTTGTATGTATTCTAATGGTGTTTTCTTTTTCATTGAATGTAGGTATGTTGTTTTAAAAGAATACTTAAGTTTCCACAGAGATTATATGGCAGAAATTTCTGCAGCATAAATCTTGTTCTCATTAAAGTCCTGACTGTGAAGTTTAAAACTATGTTTTAATCCCCAACTCAGAGGCATGGATTTAAGCACATTGAATTTTCCCGTGGTTCCCCGCTGTTCCCTTATCTCTCAAATGGAAAATAGTATTTCCAGCTCTTAAGTACTGTTAGTTGTATGTTGTATAGGAGTAAATGTCCTTCTGGAACTCCAGGTTTAAGTGTAGTTCCCAACAAAAGTTCTGTTTGGATGGGTACCAGAGCGAGGTTTGTCTCTTCTTATGATCCAGTGTCTCGGTCAAGTGAAATGTCAGTTTATGAAACAGGTTTTCATCTCATATTGTGGTAGAGTAATAAATGAGAGTTAACTGTTTAGTAGAAAAGTACACAAACTACCAAACTGCTCAAAGTAATGATTTCAAATGTTACTAGTTGCTGAACAATGGTCCTTGTATGGTCCTTTATCTTGTTTTCCATATACCATGAATTGTGTGTATATCATATCAATTACTTTTTTTTCTTTTCTGTTTTTAACATAAACCCAAGAAAGCACCTCTGTGTGCTCTGGATCGGTAGACGGTAGCTTGTATTTAATGAAGAACCAAAAGGAGAAACTGAGGATGACAATGCCAATGACACTTTCATTTTGTTACATGGCGTTACTCTGGTTGAGAGAACCAATGACATTATCTGATCTCTTAAGGTATGAATAGTCTCTAGTGAAATATTTGTTGCTTTTATAAATATATTTTTTAAAAAAATGTGATCTGCACTACTGCTGTCTCACTAATTTGCTCAGAAATAGTGAGAAGTTCTCTCCATTGAGTTGTCTTTTCTTTGACATAACAATTTGTGAGCTGCTTTTGGAGAATATTCGCCTCTGTTGCTTGCAATGAATCTCAAAGACTTGAGAAGGGAGAAGGTTTTGGAGTTAAAGAAGTTTTTATCCTTCTCCATCAAGATTTCTTAAGACTCACTGGAGGTGTGTATGGTTGCACTTTTGCTATTTTTGCTGTTGTCAGCATGCCAGAATATAATGAGTGAACATTCTCCAGGACTTACATCAGTGTCATCATACAAACAATACCAGCAGTATGTGGTGATCTGGAAGGTAGCTAAGTAGCTTCATGCAATAGAGTTGCGCACAGAAATTAATATAGGAAGTCCTCTTTTGCCTTCATATCTTTGTATCTGTATTTTTCAGAGTTCAGAGTAATACAGCTTTTAATATAGTAGCAATAAAATGTTCTAATAGTAGGGTTTGATGTTAAATGGGGACCATCAAACTGTTGCTGACAATGCAGTTCCCTTCTCCCCTCTACAACGCTATGAACATGTTCCTTATTTACACCCAAGCCTGTCAGTGTTTAAGAGGCATTTGGACAATGCCCTTAATAACCTGCTTTAACTTTTGGCCAGCCCTGAATTGATCAGGCAGTTGGACTAGATGATAATTTTAGGTCACTTCCAACTGAAATATTCTATTCTAATTAAAGAATGAAAAATAATTTAACTCTTCTTTTTAGCAATATTTTAAATCAGGCCCAAATAGTTTAAAGTCAGGAATTCTTAGATCTTCCTTGGAAGACCTTTTGTATACTGATACTTCTTTTTAACAAGTGTTGAAATACTGGGTATTTCAAAAAAGATGGGGAAAAAAATTACTTTGCCAAAATTTAAAGAACGGAAAGACTCAAGTGACTGTACATTGACAATTCAAATTGCAAACTTGGACAAAATAAAGGAAAAAGTGATTCAGAATTCAGTTGATATGGTCAATTTCAATTTTTTAATTTTTATTTTTCAAATATATAACCTGTGAGCTAAAAGGAAAGGCAATGAGTACATCAACCCCCACCTGTTGTGCATATAACTGGCATTGCTGCTGAAATTGTGATGAATGCAAGGGAGGTTTACCGCAGAGCCTGATCTGCCCCTGTGGCCTGTCTCCTCTGGAGTACCAGCTTCCACCTGCACTTCCCTAGCTTTGTACAGGCTTTCTGAGAAGGATGGGTATTGCAGAATGCTCTTTTGCAAGTACTTTTTAGAAGGCAGAGGTTTGTACACCTTGAAGTACAGTAGTTAATACTAACTTATTTTTATGCAAAACAATGTTTAACCCTTTGATTTAACTTTAAGGGGAGGCTGTTGCCCTCATCGATCAGAATTGCACAAACCATTCCATATTTGAATAACTGGATATGCTGTTACATAAAAGATGGATGTAAAACATTCAGCAAAATGCCACTGTATTCAGAATTCAAACTAGGACCCTGCATGCAGAAGTATTTACTGAGTTAATTAAGAAATAGTAGAACTCAAAAGCAGTTTTCAATAACAAGGTTTATTACTGACTAGTATCTTCCTAAGGAAGTTCTGTAGGAGTTGGAACTACCGTAGCATACTCTGTGCTTTTGTCAATGATTAGCAAATAAATATATAAATCCTGTCTGATAATGTTTGTATATGTGAAAAATCCAAGTAGTAAATTACAGTTACTGGAATGGAGCAAATGGTTCACAGTAGAGAATTATGGCTTAGCCCATCCTGTTCGGAGAGAAAAATGAATAATTAAATATCTATTCTCTGATTACTGAATCTTTGAAACTGTCTCTGGAAAGCATGTGGGGTCATACGAGGCAAATACATCCTCACAAGTTCCTGTCTTAGTATGATAGTGTGGTTTGAAAAAAAAAACCAAACAACCAAACAGCAACAACAAAAAACCCAACTGTCAAAGTCCACTGTTAGGAGGAAAGGTAGATTGTGTTGTTTGCGTATTTATGGCATATTGTTGTATTTGGCACTTTAAAAATTGGAGTCTGCAAAAAGATACAGGAAAATTATTCAGAACCTGGAGAACATCCTTTGTACTGAGATCCTTAAGGCATGAACACATTTACTTGAAAGGATTTGCAGGAAACATGAAAACAGTAAAAAAAAAAGAGCTGGAAAAGGAGAGAAAAAAAAGTTGAGTACCAAATATAGTACAGAAAGGCAAATCAGAAACTAATAATCGGAAATAAGATTATTTGAATGAGAAGATATCATTTATGGGTGTACTGCTTTTAAAAGTGGGTAAATCAGAATGATTCAGTGACTTTATATGCACTGAACATAGAACTGAATTAAATTCTGAAAGTGATGTTTAAAAGAATGTCATTTGTATTGCAAAGTTTTACCATGATACGACAGTTATATAAGACTAATTACATTATCATGCTTCCCTCCCTACCCTTAAGGTCTTTGCCTTTCACAAGTTTGATGAAGAAGGGGAAAGAATTTTAAATCGCATGAACTACCATAAAATACTTGTTTTCTAACTTCTGAATATTTACGTTTACAAAATCAGACAATATTCACATTTTTGCATGCATTAAGATACACAGATCAAAATAGTGACAGACCAGAGATGAAAACTATGCAGAGAAAACTTTAATTATTCAGCATTACTTTTTAAATCTGTATAGGCAAATTGTTTTATTTGAACCAGATGGATTACAGTTGTACTTAAAGTCCTGCCTTGTTTTTTCCTCAGTTTGGTTTTCTCCCTGCCCTGAAGTCAGCTGACTACTGCTCCTCCCTTGTGATACATGCTTAGGCACTATGGTAGGGCAATCTGCCAGCTTTTAAAGGATTTACAACACCAAAAATACACTCCTCCATGCTACTTGACACACTTAGTAGAAAAACACTATGATTACCTCCTCTGACAGGGACATTTTCATTTAAAAATAACATTTTTAACAACCTGCTACTCAAGTCTGTGTAACACGTTAAATCCTTTTCCACTGTGAATAGTCTCATGATACTACATATGCTGTATACTATTTATCTAATAATGAATAAAATTGTTGGCTTGGGGAAAAAGTTTCAAGGTGCCAGACTCTGAGATTGTGAGAACTAATGCCTTTCAAATGAGGTTATACCTAGCTTTGCTTGCAAGACCAAACTTGTAATCAGTTTGTGTGGCTTTAACAGATGCATCATTTCCTGGTAGCATGCAGAGGACCTAGAATTTGTTTTCATTCTTGGACTTTACTAATATGTGCTGCTGCTGTAATTAAAAGAACATGGACTGTGTACTGTTTCTGCCAGTCAAGTTTTCAAGTACTTCACTGATACAACATAGCCTTACAAGTGTTTTGATCATCTGTCTGTTAAATGAAAGGTTTGAAAGAACAGCAGAAGAAACTGTTCTGAAGTGCCACTCCAAATGTGGGCTTTTGGACTGAGGGTTTAAAAACCTGAATCATCAGCACGTTGTATTCATAACAGGGCATTTACGCTGTTTCATGTATTTTTAGAACATAAAAACAACCCTTAACCTGAGAGAGAAGAACATTCTTTTGTATGGAGACAATAATTTCAAGCTAGGAAACAGTTGCAGTGCTTTGAGTTGGTACAGCCAAGTTAGTGCAAGCATATTTAAAAAAAAAACAAACCCCCAAAAAACCATTTTGATGGACATTGCTTGTCTCTTGCAGTGTAAGGATGTGGTTCCAGCATCAGTTTAAGCTGATCCAAGTTTCTGTTTCTGGGGTCCTGCATAAATTTTTCTGCTCTTACTGTTGCACTGGGTACTAGCACTGATCTGGTTTATGATATATTAGTTGAAAGAAGTCAATCTGCAGAAAACTAATTTTGCAAAAGGAAGTTTCACCAGACATTTTAGTGCAGGTTAATTTGCTTCACTGCCGTCCCTTTCTGCCTTTTTCTGGCAATAACGTTCCTGCAGTCAGCTGAGTATGGAAATCTGTCTGGTTGAAATCAAACCTTGGAAAACAAAAGACTAGTTCTCAGTCTAATCCTCTGTTGGAGAAGTCACACAAGTGCTTTTGTCAGCAGGGAGGAGTGTGTGGCAGAGGACTGAAGGGAGGGTGGCATTTCCCATTTCAGAGGCAGCAAGCTGTTAGGGTGGTTTGGCTGCAATCACCGCGACACCACACCTGAAGGAAGGTCGTGATTGTTTGCCCTCTTCCAGCTGTCACTGTGCTGGCTCAGGAGGTTGCTGCTTTCAGTGTCTTGGTACCAGCTCTTCAGATCTGACAGCTAATTGTGTGATTGCGCCTTAACACGTGTCAGCCAAAGCTTATCATCAGCTGAGCCAGTAATGGGGCACTGTTGCTGAAAGAGGAAGGTCTTGCTTCCCTTCTTCTCCTGCCTGTGTGATGCATCCCCTTCCCTCTGCCGACTCTTGCACTTGTTGGAGCCATCTGTGAGCCTCCTCAGTTTGTTAGATGATGGGAAACAAACCCTTCTTTCTTGAAACAGAGCAATAGGCAATCTTCTGCTGTTGTGAGTTAAATTTGTTGAAGGGAATGATAAGGAACATGAGCACACAGCCAGACTGTGACTAGTTATGTTGAGCTTTTAGGTTGGCTCAATCCATTTTGTTAAACTACACCATAAAGTTAAGCTCTTCAGTTTAGCGCAGCTGGCTTTGACTGAAGGGAGCTAAGGAGCCATCATGTGAGGTGCTCAGCACATCAGGTGGGATGGCAAGGACAAGCAACTCTTGCTGGATGATAACCTTACAGAGTGTGTGGACCAGTGCACATCTCTCCTCTCTGGGGAAATGCTATTTACACTGGTTGAGAAAAGGTACTGAAACTTCGTTAGCAAAATGTACACCACACAATTTGATTAGAAAGGATTGTGCAGTGATTCTTACCTCTTCACTTGAGAGACTAATACGCAGAACTTCAGAATAAAAATATTGGGCAATGTGATTTTTCAATTTGCTGTTATTTTTCATAAATCATTATAAGTGATGGGTTAATTCTAACTGAGAAACAGTTTTGATTAAGAAATGCACTTTTCATTTTAATAGTGGTTGGAATTAGATTTTTTAATTAAACTGAAAATTCAGTTAAGAATGTTGTAAAAAAAATTTGGGATGTAACTAACTTTTGCAGTAACTAGCCTTTAAATAGAATTGTAGTCAACTTCAGTAGATACACTCTGTGTAATACACAGCAAGTGGTGCATACTCCTCTGGACTAGGAGAGGGGAGGTGAGCTTGTGAATTGCTGTAGGCTCAGGAGGAAGGTAAATCTTCTTCAACAGTAGATCCTCTGAATGCAAAGACATTGTTCTGCCCTGTTTTTATTCTTGTTTTCTCTAGATGCATTTTGCATGAAAGTGGCAGATTGCTGTGCTTTTTGGATTGGGATTGGATCCAGCTAGCAATTGAAGTGTTTAGGTGCTGCCCTGCATTGGGAGCAGAGGCAAAGCCCAGCCTTGCAACCACTGTGGGAACCCAGGAGGGACTTGCGGAGCTCATAGACCAAGAAGTTACTAATCTGTGTAGCAAGATCAGAGGGATACCGTGCAAGATAACACAGCTGGCAGGAGAGAAATTGTTTTCAGATCTCTAATATTATTTAAAGAACAGAGCCTTCTCTGTTTGAAGTGTTAACTTGTTCCAGTTTAATTTGCTATTTTTAAAAAAATTGTTTTGGAGAAGGGAGACGGAAGGCAGTTCTAGTTTAGTCCTATGGGAGGCCGCTAATATGCTTTAGTCTGGAATGCGAGTAGTGTCTGTTCCCTTGTGAGGATCCATGCTTGTTCAGTGGTTGCTTTGCCTGGTGTGAATGTCAGCTATGATGTTAGGTAGGACTAGGGGTTTGGATGCTGGTGACTTTTTTTGTCAGTAACCGTTGTGAAATCCCATCATACAGATAAGAAAATATCAAGAAAAACCCAAAGTAATACTGTCAACCATTTACTAAAGCCAGTTTTCAATAAAGATGCATTATTTGGGTGCAAATACAAAAACAAATGATTGTGTATGTATTAATATACAAAATAATTTCTGTTCATACCCATATAACACATTTTTTGAAAAAAATCAGAATACATAATGTAATTAATGGGGTTTCAGACCTGTGTATCTGCTCATTGTTCTGTGACTTTTGTCCCTATCACCTTGCCTGAGTCATACCGCTCCAGCAGAAAGTGTGTGTTTGAAGTAAAATTTACTTAAAGCTTTAGAATTTTGAAAGAAAAATTCCATAAATCCAAAGGAGGCTTAAAGCAGTTTCAGAAATGCAGTAGCTGAAGAATGCACAGAACAAACTCCACGTAAGTATGTGGATTGTAAGCTTACAGCCATAACATTATCATTGGTCAATCATATCTGATCTTGAAGTTAAAGGCTTGTTAAATGATTGAACTGGTTTTGTCCATGAAGCATTTAGGGGTGTGTAACTTCAGGTGGAATTGATTAGGCAATATAATACTCACGTTATTTCAAATCAGATGTTGATTTGTATGTTAATTTTTGAACAAACGTATGTAGTTCTCATAGTACTATTTTGATTTGGTCTTTTTTTTTTTTTAATACAGGTTTGTTGTTGAAGGTCATATTCCATATTTGAATGTTTTTCAGCATTTTCCAGAGCAGATGAAATTGTGTGGACTTGATCTTAAGATCTTTTGTGTAGAGGTAATTTTTTTCTTAAAGGAAAAGATTAAAAAAAACCCCAAAACCTAGTTATCTTGTGGAATTTTAATTTTTTTTTTTTTTTTGGTCACTGTACTAATAAATTGATTAAATCTGTTCTAATGTTGTGGAGTTCACATTTTGCATTATTGGAGCCTGTGCAGAAACCAGTGCAGTCTGTGACTCTGAGTGCTTTAATCTTTAACTAGTCTTATTAAGCTGATTACCTAAGTTAAAATGAAATCAATAAGTACTTGGGGAGAAAAAAGGTATTGAGAACTGCTTTTGGAACACTCAGAAGTAAGGTTTGGCTTCGTGTCTAAGGGCAATATATGATCCTTTTTGGTGCCTAAAATATATATTGAATGTGTTTGTAATTTCATATTCTTTTCATAAAATATTGTTTAGATGTTATCTCTTGTTCTGTTTCTTGCTTTACTGGTTGAAATATATCAAACCTAAAATACACATAAGGGGTTATGGTTCCTCTAGAAGATTAAAAGTGATGGACAGTCTTGAATAAAATGTGAATATCCCTTATTGAAGTTTATCATGTATTGTGGGAACGATTGCCCACTGGTGTTTGTGTTGCAGAAAAAAGTTTATTATGGATTTTTGAAGTGTGCAAATAAAATCTTAGCTTTACAGAGCAGAAAGCAGCAATTCTGCTAAGAGGAAAAGCTAGGTTTTGGTCTGCGATAATGTGTTTGTAGCCCAAACCCTCAGTGATGATGTTACTGTAATGTTACCGTTCTCCAGTATGTAGCTTATATTTAGCAGATCATGAGTTGTTCAGAAGCTGATCTGTAGCTTTTTTTTTTTTTTTTTACCACTGCTATCCTGTCTGGATAAATAACAAATATGACCTCAACTTTTAAAAATCAGGAGACAAATTTAATATAAAACCTCTTGATTTCTTTTTCTGTCTAGATTTTTAGTTAATAGAAAAGATAAACCAGGTTGAAATGTAGATGTAGACATTTTTTTATATAACTCTTAATTCTCAGTCTCTCTGTCCTTCTTTGCCTCCATCTTTTGGAGGTGTTTTTATCCCTTGAAATTGCTTGCACTGAATCTGTATTCTGGCCTGACTAAATAAAATACCTCCCCCCCCCAATCTTGCAAATCTCACAGATAAAATTTTCATGTGAATTGTGGCTCTGAAATTTGTACCATGCCTCGAAATGGGAGATCTGGTTTGCAAAGAGGAGATGACAGTTGCCCTTGGAGGATCCTACTGCTTTCTTTTGGGATAGAGCTGCTTCTGGCATGCAGGGTGATCTGATGCCCATCCTGAAGGCAATTTCATCAGTCCCTGTTAGCTTGCTCTCTCCCAGAGCTGTTGATCTGGATTATTCTACTGACCTTCCATAAAACACACTTCCACTATGGACTGTCGCATGTCCTAATGTGGGAGTGGGACTTCACAACTTGAGAGCCACAAGCTGGTCAATTAATTTTGTTCCACTTTATAAATATAGAGGAGGAAGTTTAGCCACTTCACCCTCTGTCTTAAACACTTACATAGCATATATGCACTTTCCTTTTTTCACAGACTGGGAAAAAAAACCCTGAATCTGATTTTTTTTGTTTTAATATTGCTTATGATGAGTCAGTATCTAGTGTGGTCTGCTGTTTAGCTTACAGGAAATTGATGATCTAAAAGCTGAATTTGTGTAACTTTTGACTTCCATCTTGCTTATCTATGATACTGACACCTGCACCCGTCAGTTCCAAAGTATTTGTAGATAATCAGGTAATCTCTTAACTTTGTTTTCGTTGAGATACATCAGTAAAGTTCTGTAAGCTTACTGTACAGTTTGTTTTCCAGCCACTCCAGTATTATTGTGGCTTCTTCTTTATAGGAATATTTGCTCCATGCTTTATGTTCCATGTTCCTTTAGTAATGCATCCTCAGGTTTATTTAGTTTTAACTTTTTTGACTACATCATTGAGCTGATAATTGCAAAAACCTTACTAGCTGTTCTCTGCATCTTATGTTTCAGAACTGATCTTGCTGCTCATTGCAGCACTGATATTATCTGTAGCTTGCTGTACCTAGTTTTGAGAAATTCAAGAGATGAGGTTATTGTCCTGGAGCAGGAAGTCAGAGTGTGTAATACTCCATCCTGAAAATACAACCAACATTCTTTTCTCCTTGGTGTTCTGTATATAATATTCTATAGACCATTATCTTCAAAACCTTTATGGATTATGACTGTTAATAACCAGGCAGGTAAGATTGTCTAATGCAGTTGTTTGTTGTGCTTTAGATCTGGTGAATGTAGGCTGCAAACATATTAAAAAATCTTGATAACTGAGAGGATGCTTTAATATGTCTCCTTTTTATTTTGAACAGATTTTTGGTGCATTTAATTGTGCTATGCTAGTTCCCTGCAGCCCAAATTTGAATCAAGAAGTAGCTATGTTGTAGTAGCTTGAAAGATTTGAAGTCATGCTAAGTATCATTCTACCAGTTAAGTACAGATGAAGCCTAACTTGATCAGGCTCATCTTATAGGAAAACATTCTCAGTGCCTTGTTTTTCTTCAGTAAAAATTTCCCAGATACCCAAAATATGCTGAATCTGTACAAGGTTGAAATTGTTGAAGCTTGTGTACATGCATGAGTTTGGTGTTTTTTTATGCCTCATCATTTAGTAGTAGTATTTCATGTGCAAGGAAAGTGACTAGTGTCAGGCTTTACAGTTGATGAACTTCTGTGCTGTGTAATACAGGAATGGAGTCCATATCACTGACGATTTTTCCCTGTCCTGCGTACAGTTTAGCAATTAGTGGTGATTACAGCATCTGTCATACAAGGAGAGGCAGAGAGAGACATGTTTTTCATCCGTGAGAAGAGAAGGCTGGGGGGGATTTCAGTAATGTCTATAAACACCTGACAGGAAAAAGTGAGGATAGAGACAGACTCTCTTCTTGGTGGTGCACAGTGGAAGGACAGGAGTCAACGGGCACAAACTGAAATACAGGAAATTCCATTTAAACATAAAACTCTTTTACTGTAAGCATGATTGAACACTGGAGCAGGCTGCCCTGAACCACTGTGGAGTCTGCATCTTTGGACGTGCACAAAACCTGACTGGACACAATCCTGAGCAACTTGCTGTAGTTGATCCTGCTTTGAGCAGAGACGTCAGACTTGATGGTCTCCAGAGGTCTCTTCCAACCTCAAGTGTGCTGTGATTCAGAAGGTATAGTATGCCTTGTATTCTATTTCACATTTTCAGTGTAGGTGGCAGATAAGCCCTTCACGTTTTAGTCATGGAACAGCTAACAAGGGCATAATTTTTCATTCTGCCCAAACAGAACTTTATTGAAAATACCTGCCACAAAGGTTATTGTGTCTGGACACCTCTACCCAGAAGTGTGGGAGCTCTGGACATAACTGCATCTGCATAAAGAGAAAGGGAGCCTCCACCTCTTTATATCATTTTTATCGTGAAGCATAACTGGTAGACACGTGTCGGGTCCTAGCTGGAGATAAGTACTACCTCACAAGTATTTTATGAAGGATAAAAGTACTTTATAAAAGATCTGTGTGTAAAATGAGTTATCTTCCATATGTGTTTGCCTTTCCATTGCTCCAAGTCTCTTTTCTAAGCCTTCACTTGATTAGTCATCGTGTTTATCCCTTCCTTTATTAAAAGCATGTGTATGTTAGAAGTTAGCCTTTGGTAAATAGGTTTTACCTAAATACACGGTCAGAGGGTTCACAGGGCAAACAGCAGCAGTAACACGATGCTCCTGCTTGCTTCAGAAGTTCTACGTTCCCAATACAAGAGAAGAAAAGCAAGTTTTCACCTTACTCTACAAAATTCCATTTTTCTAAAACAAGTATTCTTATTCCATTTAACTAAAACCTTTTTATGTATCAAGAAAGAATAAGATACTTGAGTTTGGGGTTTTGTTCTAGCCAGGAGATCAAGTTTTTTTTCTAGCTATTTGCAATTTGTTTAACTACAGTAAATCCCTGCTGGCCTTGAGGCTTGCACCAGTAGCCAACAGGTCTTTTCTCTTTGAGGTGGAAGGCATCTTTGTTTCCTTTTTAGTGCAGAGGATATCTATTTCTTTAAAAGCCTACTACTGTAGGAGTTAAAACAAATTTGTAGATTAGTAGTAATGTATATAAAGTTCTGTAGCTAATTTGCTTTCAGCTTGTATTATTTTTATTGATAATATCTGTCCTCCAGTGGAGCTACGCACAAATTCTCTCTTCCATTTCTGCTTGAACTAGGAATATATCCTTAAGATACACATCCTCTATTTTGCTTTTAGGGTTTATCTTTATCTTCATACAAAACTGATTAAAGCATCCCTTTTCTCTTGAGCTGGCAACAACTTGTCCTTGCCATAAATCTGTTTTTCCTTAAATTTTTCGCTCAGGACTGTGTACCTGATTATCTTTTAAGTAATTGTTTTGTTTGTGCTTTAAAGTTGCTTCTGCTTTGCTGTCTTAAGTTTACATTTAGCTTTCGTTACTTTTTATAAAACTCATTACTTTTTGGCATATTTTACCATTAATGCATTGTAGATTGATTTTTTTTTTTAATGTCCAAAAATAATTTTTGTTTTTGGTTCTCATGTTCTTTACACACACCCACAAACTTAAATGTACATGTATATATAGGTAAGCAGGTCACTCCCATGGCGGTTGGGCAACATGATTTACTAAAGTATTGAAGATAACAAACACGTCACTTTGGGGTATGTGCTATGTGGAACAGGGTAGGTGTAGTCTCATAAATATCTTTCAGATCCTGTTCTGAAGAGCTTTAGGAATGGTCATGTTTTCAGATGCACAAGTATCTGGACTTGGCAAGGAGCCTGATGTGTGACCTCAGTGAAGTTCTGTTCTCTCTCTCTCTCCTCCAACTTTAACTCATTTTTTCCTAAACTTATTAAGAATCTTTTTTTTTTTCTAATGGATGGGGTGGGATAGCTAGGAGAAAGTTGAGCTTGGTGAGTGTTAGATTAATTCTGTTTA